AAAAACAACATGAAGAAGAACAAACCAGTTTGTGCTTATTCTCATGTGTAATGTCTTGTGTAATATTTAAATACCTGCTAACAAAATAAATGTAAGGGTCTGTCTGCTCTGCAGATGAAATAAAGCACAGTGCAGGTGGTTCTTGAATGAATGCTAAAACAGCTATACCAAAATCAGTTGTAATGCGATATAAAAGGTAGGAGTCATTCACAGTTACAACAGTCATGGGAAAGCATCCCTAGGCAAATACTCTCTGATGGTCTCTATCTTACTGCTTTTCATGCATTCTTAATCTTCGTTCTTCTTATTCAACACTGGAGTCAGCTGTTGAAATAAGGTCTTAGGGATCAGAGGCACAATTATGGAAAGGCCATAATTGTAAAATAAATTTAAAAAAAAAAATCAGAAGGAAATTACAAATTAAAGTGGAATGATTGTCTAGTTCACTCTGACTTCCATCTTCTAATCATCCTAAATTATTTTAATGCATGTTTGCACTCATTAATTCTATAAAGATGAAGTGAACCTATGCAGGGTGAAAATCAGGAGAGCCAAAGCACAGCTAGAGCTCACACTAGCTACAGCTGTTAGGGATAATAAAAAGTGTTTCTATAAGTTCATTAACAGCAAAAGGAGGATTAGGGAAAATCTCCATTCTTTATTGGATGTAAAGGGAATCTTAGTAACAAAGGATGAGGAAAAGGCTGAGGTGCTCAACACCTACTTTGCCTTAGTCTTTAGCAGTGGAACTAGCTGTGTTCCATGAATATACAGACATATGAGCTAGGAGACAGGGAGGGGATGCAGAATGAGGTCATCACAGTTAAAGAGGAAGTGGTCAGAGACCTACTACGCCACTTAGACGCACACAAGTCTAAGGGACTGGATGGGCTACATCCAAGGGTGCTATAAGAGTTGGCAGATGTGATCACCAGGCCACTTTCCATTCTTTACCTGAAATCCTGGCTAACTGGGGAGATCCCAGTGGACTGGAGGGTAAGAGCAATGGTTTAGGGGAGAACTTTGTAGAGTAGGGGTGATCCCAAGGGTCTTTTCTAACCTGAATAGTTCTATGATTCTATGATTTTCAAGCTCAAAATTAACAAAGGTCCCATCATGTAATTCTCCTAACACCCATTGAATATTATATTATATCAGTCCAATTTCATTCCAATCTTTTACAGCTTCATCTCCCACTCAGGGCACGTGTATCATGGTTTAGGGGTGTCCTACATGCTCTGTATATCTACAGTACTTCTAATATAGTACTTTTTAATAACATGAAATTTAGGAATCATGGAGTAAAAACCACTTTCTTATTTGTAAAGGCCTAGGAATATAAGATTAAAAAATAACTCTTAAAACATGTTTGTCTTTGAAATACCTTAAATTAATAATCAAAAGCTCACATCAAGTCTAAAACAAATCAAACCCAGTCATGAAGATGAGACACAGGAATTATTAACTGAGTAGCAAGGCTGATGGAGGCTCAATGAGATCATTTTGTTCAAAGATTAAAGGCGATGAAAACTGAAATAGTTGAGGAGGATGGCTACGAACACATCTGACTAGAGCTGCTAAATTCAGTAATGATCAAAAGTTAATTATCAAAGCAGAGAGAACTACTCAACGCAGACAATTTGAGTCAATAGCTAAGTTAGGGAAAAAAAGGTAATTTGGAAGTATTTTCCTATAATGAAGTTATATAAAAGACGTGCATTTCAAAGAAACCTGCCTAAAACAAGATTGCGTTCTTCCTGATCAGAGGAAAATAATTAGCTCTAATTGACAGACCTGCTGCACACCAAATATTTTCAAATAATATGTTTCTGCATCAAAGCTTAATGTGTAGAGTTGCTCAGTGTCACTTTGATTTTGCCTTTCTTTATCTTTTGCCACTGGGCATGCTCATGATACTGAAACAAATACACTTTGAAAAATGAATGAGCAACACCTACAAGATGAATAAAAGCAGAAGGCCAGATCCTGCATTTCTTTCTCAGATAGAATCCCTGACATGTAGTCTGTGACCATCTGTGACCATCATGGTCCTACTCAGAGGCAAACTGAATCACTTGTAATAGGAACTGACTGGTTGCTTGTTCATCCAACATTAAACTAGGCTGGTATGCAGATTAACCTGAGAGTTTGTGGTATTTGTTTAAAATTTTCTATGAGTGAGCATGTGTGTGAAGGACATTGTCCCTCCAGCCTGTGCCTTTTCTTAGGAGTTAGTACTTCTCCCAGTAACAAAAGGAAAAAAGAATGTGGAAATTCTCCATGTAAAAATCTGAAGAAAGAGATGTGCTGGAATGTTCATGATGTGAGAAAATAAAATATATCTATAATTCTTTGACCCTAAAGTTACAACATTTCTTTCAGGGCGAACAGTTGCCATCAGCATAGCTAAGTAGTAAAAAATCAAACATCTAGTTTTTGTTCTATGACTTTGACATTGCCAGTTCTTTCTCCCTGCAATATCTTCATCTTCTTTAATTTTTCATGTAAACAGTTTGGCTCACCCCATCCCACACATGGTCTCCAGAATATCTTCTGCTTTACTTTGTATTCAAAGTGACTGAATTATTATATACTTGTGATCCTAGGCACTCTCTATGCTTCTGTTTGCTTTCTCTGTATTTTGATATCAGGTTTTGTGTAGTGACTTGAATAATTCAGGGGGAGGGGAAACTGATTTAGATGCAAGTTTCACATGCTTGAACTCAGAATTGTTGTGGTCCGGGTACTTGATATACAGAAGGGTCAAGCAAAACTGTACAGTCAAAAAAAAACTACTGCCATTGTGGAAGACTGTTCATGAGCTTTAAAAATAATTTTAGTTCTCTGCAAGATGGGACTGAAATTTGGCATTTGATGGGAGGCTGTGAAGGGTTATGGTGGAACAAAAAATGTACAGTCAAAAAAAACTACTGCCATTGTGGAAGACTGTTCATGAGCTTTAAAAATAATTTTAGTTCTCTGCAAGATGGGACTGAAATTTGGCATTTGATGGGAGGCCTGGGAAACAGAAATGCCATTTTTTATGATGTTTTAATCCATTTTAAGTGAAACATTTGTTGTTACATGTATTTTATAACTCAGAAAGATTTCTTAATAACATGCTTCTGACTCTGCATTTACATGAGTCAGCTGAAAAAGGGAAATTTGGAAGAGTATCATTGGAAAGAGGCACAACTCACATTATTTCACTAATGAGCAGAGACCCCATTTCATCACAGCCTTGTTTGAAGGAACATAATTGGGTTTGGGTCTGTTACACGTACTTGTGCAATCATAAGTTTAGCATTTCCTGAGGTTTAAGTGTTTTATTTAGCAAGCCTACTGTACAATTAATATAATTGTTTCCTATCATGTATTCATTGATTTATTCTTTAGATGGAAATAAAATCCAAATGAAATAAACACATTTTTCTTTTCACACTGGGAGCCAGCCCAAAGGATTGCAGTCGCCCATCTCAGCTCTCAAGCTCTAATTCTTCCTCCCAAATTTTAAACTCACTGTTAGGGATTTCCATGGATTTAAACACAGATTTTTATCTTTGTTATGATTGGAGGCAAAAGTGCCAAAAGAGCAGGTGTTTTGAAAAACTAGCACCATTGTTGAGCCCAAAGCAGAACTCGTTCTGGCAAAATTTGGAGCTCAGGTGTGTAGGTCCCAGAGGTTTCAAAAGGTAGTCACTTTTCATGAAGAATTTAATTCTTCAAGGGGTTTTGTGAACATTTTTCAGGACTAATATTAGCAGTTCCTGTGTGGGAACCATTTTATTCCAGTCCCTAAACATAGCAGGTTCTTCTCCAAAACCCTTCTCTTCAATTTTGGTAGGCTTTATAAAAATATCTCTGAAGGTGATTAGGCACTAGAATTTCCCTTACTATAATTGGTTTATGGATCAGTTATCTTGATTCTGCCTTTCACCACTGTCTGTGCTTGTAATCTTACTAGCCATCTGACCACTTTCCACATTTAGATCTATTACAGTCTGGTTCTGCAAACATTAGGAGGAATTCTCTGAAATGATATGACAACATTAGTTTATCTGAAGGTGGTTTTTCAAGCTGTCTCGCATTAAACCATTATTTACCTACTCTGGAAAAAAAAATAAAAATCAGAGAGGGTATGCAAGGTTGGTTCAGATGACATAATTATGCCACAGAAGCATTTAAAAAAAATAAAAAATCTCCACTAAAATCTCAAGCAGCTTAACCAGTATGACAGACTGGAGCAGCTCTGCCATCAGTGCCCCCAGCTGTGTTGCTTAGCAACATTTTAATTCAAGAAGAATCGAAGGAGATGAAATCCCCGTGGAGAGGGAAACAGAAATAAGAGGGCCGTTGACAGATGATCTGAGTTGTTTCTTCTAATATACTGTGAAGATCACTGGCTCTTTTCATGAATGATAAATGGACTGTACACAGATCAATGGGTTCAGCAATAAACTGGAACCAGGCTCCATGTCTGAGGTGGTGCAGGCCGAGAGGCCCAAAGATTTACTCATTTAGATGATTTGGAATGTGTTTTCTCAAAGGTTTCACAAGAGGAAATTGATCTGAACATTTGGTCATCCTTTGCCCTTTTCTGTTGTTGGTGAATAAAAACTGTTTTGGAGATGGAGTCCATTCTTCCCTTTATTTTTTCCTGTTGTTGTTCTTGTTCCAGATACAGGCAGATAGCTTGTGACAAAGGGGCCAGACCTCAGAGTGGCAAGTGAAGTAATCACCCTGAATGAGCAGTTCCTAAACATTTGTGGCCATTAAAGATAAACAAACCACACTGATAGCACAAACTGGGGCAGAAGTATTTAAAACCTGTAACACTGTGTCTCTGAAAGAGTCCAGCTCCTGAATTCCTCTGCCCTGGCTGGAGCAGGCTGGGTGTGCATTTCTGAAGAGCATCTGCAGGTTAATGTTTGCTTGTGGCCTCATTGTGTTTTGGTGTGTTGCTTAATTGTTTTTTTCCCCCACCCCTCTTCTCTTTACAGGCTGCTGAAAAGACAAAATTGAGAAACATTCCTATAAAGTAAGTTATTTTTATTTCTGTTTGAAAGTGCAACTTTAACAAAGTTGTTGTATGCAATCACTAAAGGAGCAGGACAGTAAGAAGGGTGATGAAAGAAATAACAGAGTTCAATTTGCCCCTAATCATAGCTATAAAAAGGTCAGTATCATTGAGGAAAGCTTTTGATTTTTCATGTGTCCCTAATGGTTGCACTCCCTAATTTTTATCCAGTTTCCATAAATGAATGTGTTGTCTATGAATAGCTGCCAAATAATATCACAATCATACTCAATACATAGTGCTCCTAGCCTTGGGGAGGTTTGCACATGCTAAAAAGATTATGATTTTTAATTGCAATCCTTGAGAAGGTCTGACAGGGGGGAAATAACTAGGAATGTGCCAAATGATTTCTAAACACATGGGAATGTTTTGCACCATGTATCAAGGCTTTGCCATCCTGTTGATTAAGAGCTCTTTCTCACTCCATGTGTGTGTCTCTCTCACACCACAGACACACTTATGTTTCTGCTCTTTACAGTAGGGTTCTGTGAAGGATGAACAAGCTACCAGGGAGCAATTTCCAGGGCATTTTATGAGAAGTTCTTAAATCTTAGGGCACTAGCAGCAACACTCAACCATATATCATTAAATTAAGAAAGTTGCTTTATAGATGTCCTGGCTCTTTGAGAAAAGGCATTTTCAGTTCAAGCTACCAGCAATCAGTGATTCTGTTTAAATAATGAATACTCCAGGCCTAATGGGCACTTATGTACCAGTAAAGACATATTTTTAGCTTCAGTAGGTGATCATTGCAGTTTAACTAAGTCCCAGTAACTGCATATTCCTGTTACAGACCCAGAAAATGTTATTTTTATAGTAGTTTGCTGATCATCCTGAATTTTGAACTGGTGTGGGTTTGTATTTTTAAGAACATGCACTGACAGGACTCACAGATCATTGTGATTAAGCACACAAAAGAACACAGTTCTACTTCTCATTTGGCTTCCATCATGTATAGTCATTTACACCTTATAAAGTGAATGCAAAAAGTGTATGAGCACTCCTTGGAGTGATTAGGCAAGATGCAAGATAGTCATAAATCACTCTTTCTTTATGTTTCATTCAATCTGATAAAATTAGAAATAGGATCCAGCAGGGACCTGATAGCACATGAAACTTCTTATAAGACAAGAGACCTTTCTTGCCTAGAGGGCTAGTTCAAATTCAGTGCAAGCTGAATTAAAGTCATTGTTAGCTGGTGGTTGTTTAATAGAGAGTGTGAAATGAGCTGTGCTTGCACATCACATTCTAGAGGATCCAGGAGTTGCAAGGTGATGAGAGTCCTGGGGCACATCACCAAAATAATAATTTATCATTTATTTACTTCTTTTTTAATGTTTTGAGCCAAATTCTCAAGAATGGCTCAGCTGAATTGACTTTTCCAACATGTGACAGGTATTGAGCATTGCAGTCATTAAACAGCATGTATGTAGCACTGATGCCCAATTAATCCACCAGAAAGATTTGGGAGTGGGGGAAAAGGGTGAGTTAGGTTAAATAATTTCTTCATGAGACTTGACTAAGTGTAACATTTCGGAATGGAAGAAGGCCAGATGGGGAGTCTCAGTCTTTCCACCTGCATATGCACATTTCACCCTGTCATGTTTCCCCCAACTGGTTGTTTAACTTCTCTTTGGCTAAGTTCATGGTGGCAGCTTCAATTGGTACCCTAGGGAATCCATTATACATATTAATTACACTCTGCATAACAAAACAGCTGAAAAATCTGCCTAGTATTTTTCAGTGACATGTAACTATTTAACGTACCTGTATACAATTAAGATTGCATGCTAAAATTCTTCCTTTCAGGGCAAAAGTAAGAATATTGTGTTTAAGATAGCAGCAGTAGATATGGTTTGCATTTATATAAGTGTCACAGCCATACAGTGCAGCTCTGTCTTGTCTGGCTTTTAGTCATTGCTTTTGTAGCTCTCAAATGTCAAAGAGAATTTCACTTGAATTTTAATGTTCTTCAGCTATGCAAAATAAAGTTAGTAGCTTCCATTGTCATAAGGGCTTAAAGCTGTACAGATTCCTTCTACCATATGTGACTTATCAGATACATTTTTAAAAACACATTTCTGTTATTAAGACATATGTGATAGTACACTTCTGAAAATGTGAATTGCTTTTGGCTAAAAGCCATGCACTAGTAAGTTGAGTTGAATCTAACTGCATTTGACATCTGTTACAATACATATATATTTTTACATGTAAAAATATATATATAAAATATTTGCAGTTGTCATTAGCATAAAAAATTTCCTTGTTTTGGTGTTGTGCTGACATAGTTTTGTGTCCCAAAACTGGAATCAAAAAACACTCCCTTTGAAAACTGTGGTTTATATAGAGTCCTTTGACGGAGCCTAATAGTGCTTATATTTAGCATATTAGTTTAGGAGCATGATGATTTCTGCAGAAATGGTCAATTTTCTTTTCATTGCTCAGTTTATTAATGTTGCTTGTTTAATGTTCAGGAGGAAGTTTACTGCTCTTTTTTGTTCTGTTTAATCCCTCCAGCACTTAACACTTCTGGAAGAAAAAGCTAAGGAATTTTTCTTGCTACAGCTCAGTAAGGCAGCTGGTCTCTTAATGCCCAAGTGTCTGTAGGTGCTTAGCCTAACTGGTGTGACCTTACTGATGGCCAAGGTAGATGCAGGTGGCATGTAACATCTTCAGAAGACTTAGTCTCAATTCTGTGTTGCTTGTAGCACTGCAAGACACAGCACATCCATAGGAACTCATCTTTATGTATTGGTAGCATCATCTGACATAATAGATAATATTACTGTAAATAAGCTCACAGAAAATTGCTAAGAAATCTCTTTGTCTGCAGAACTGAATTTTTTAAAGTAACTACAGTTACTTTTCCAAAAACATAAAACCATTTTCTGTCTGTTCTGTCTGTATGTGGCACCTGTGTGGCCCCCATAACTGCAGAATCCATTACACTTAACTCATTTATCCTCTCCTGCCCTTGCCATACAAGGGGTATTTGCTTTCTCCCATTGGATTTATCCATATTTACATTGCAAGTCTGTAGTAGAAAATTTATTTCCTGGTTCCAAAGTCCTAGACACTTTCTTACTTATCTGCTGATCCTATCCCTGAGTCTGAAAGAGGCAACATGACTTAAACAAGTTTACCTTGTGGAGGCTTTACCATTTCTAAAAAACTTTTACATGAAAAATGGTTTCTAATTAGGACACATCCAGAGGAAATAATCTTCTATTATACCCTGTGATTTGATGGAGGAGGGGGAGAACAGCACTATCATTAAAATTCAGTAGTGGCTTTGTTACGAAACACAACTCATGATCGCTATTCCCAGATTTTTTTCCCAGACTTTGGCAGACAATGGGAGTCCACATCAACATAGAGCATAGAGGAATCAGGCATGTTGACTGGGAGCACATCCCTTGTCTTTTACCAGTGGATCGAGCTGCAGGATCCCCTCAGATCCAGGCACAGTCAGGGTTAGGCCTCACTCTCAAGTACAAATACACTTGGCTTGGCAGCCTGTCCATTAATGTAGACTGAAGCTCAATCAACCCAATGCTTTGTTTCTGGCAGTGGCAGAAGGTGGGGGAAGAAGAGCAATTACAGTGGCATCTTCCCACCACCCTGTGCACAGCTTTTTACAATTCTGTAACCACATGTCCTGTGTGAAATCTCTTTTGAAATCTGTTTATGCTTCTTGTCCCCACAACATCCTGGGGCATTGAGCACCATAGTGTGTGAAAAATACTGTCTTTTGCTTGTTTAAAACATTTCCTCGTGTATTCAGTGGAATGCATGCAAGTCATTATTCTTAGCCTGAAAGAGGAAATGAATACACACTGTTCTTCATTCCTGATATTGCATATCTCTGTTGTATACATCAAGGAGGCTTCCTACTCAAAATCCACTAATAATACTGTTATCCTCTAAGTGTGTGAGCCCACGAGCGAGCTAATCTAGACACAAGGCAAGTCTCTCAGCAGTTGGGAAAGGAAGGCTGTGTGTATATTAATCAGGCAAAGACAGTAGTTAGGAAGATAACTTGTTTCTTTTCATTGTTTTCCATATTAAAGTGATAAGTTCTTTGCATGGCAAGGACTAAGGACTAGATATAATGAGACTCTATAAAAAAAATGCCTCAGATTGCAGTCCTTTATGAACATGGCCAAATGGGTTCCATGGTAAAATGTGGGCAGGTGAAAGAATGATTTAGCTAAAACATGATGTTATCCAACACTACAAAATAGCAGTTTTGTAAGAGAGGACTTAATTTTTTTAAATGGAAAATGAATGCTTCAAGAGTGGTCCACGTAGTACATGAGCTTCTGTAAAACTGTGAGAATAGTGGAATTTACTTCTTGCTTCAGGGGGGAAAACATTGCCTTCCTTGAGTGTCCTTTATACTCTCTTATTTTATAGTCCCTTTTAAAGTCTTCAATAGAAAGCAATGGCTTTTTCCCCAAACACCTGCATATGCTTCTATTTCCTGTAGTTTTAATGACTTCCAGATACATGTTTGGCATTATGGCTTGCATTAAAATCCTGCTGCTTTTTATATTTTCTAAATATGTTTGTTTCCCATCAGCCACAAGTTTGTTAACGAGAAAGACTTCTGGTGTTTGTTGTCTTTTCCTGCCATGAAACTTATCTTCTCCTCAGAAGGGCATCTGACCTGACTTTGTATGGTTTTCCATCCCAACCATCATTGGAAATGCAATCCATTAACATTTGATATCTTGACATTTCAATTGACCTCTCATTTGCAAAGCGCAGTGGTATTTTTCGTGGCCTTTTCATCCTTGATTATACATGGAATAGGAGTGACTGTTTCTACTGACTGCACTTTAAAAATATCTTTGTTTTACCAGCTGGAGTGGCACCTTGTTTCTTCCTCCCTGGATAGACCTTATTGTGCATAGAAGGTTTGAGGTCTAAGCAAGTCATGCAGAGCCAGAGGATTT